GGAAGTACAAGAAAGATGAATTTCAACTCCATCTCTAGCATTGCCGCACATGAAAAGACTGAGGAAGAATTCTGGACTGTGGTAGCCTGTAGATCGCAAGAGGTCAGAACTTTTGAAAGGTGGCAGTTTGAGCATCAATCAGTGGGAGAAGCAATGTCTGATGGCATTAATCATTCTAATTATTATAATGTAAAAGCCTTCTCTTTGAGTCCACTGAATATAATAATCAGCAGTATTTATTTTGCAACAGGACATTTGTTATCTCATTATAGAACAGTAATTTTTCAAAGCTAGTCAAACTGGTTCTTAGCATTGTACTCCTTTTATTGCATGTTTTAAAGTTTCTACGGTGAAAATACAGAAATCAGTGGATCTGTATCTACTTTTTCAGAACATCCAAAGGAAAAATAGGTTCCCCCCCCATTTATTGTGTGAAAACAGTAACACCTTAAGCGTATCCAAGGATTTTGAGATCCAGAAAACACTAAACTTAGATTATAAATAAAGGAAAACTTTGAGGAACTTTCCAAAGGAGCTGCAGAAAAGTTTTGTTCTATTATATGCCATGGAATGTATTGAACAAAGTAAATACAAATGCATAGGGCGGATCCAAAGGCCTGTAGCAGAATTCCAGTAACCAATTCTTTTTCACCTTCCTCCTCCATCTGGAGCCCCTTATCCTTTCTTAAAAGAGGAGAACTAGAGTGTTATGGAGCTTTTGGAAACACTATGGGTGTGGTTTACAGATCTGCAGTGTGAAGGGGAATAGGTGAAAATTGCCTCTTCTGTTGTATTAGAGGAAATGCCCTTCTGCTTCTGGAAGGAGAATCTTGGATCTAACCTGTAATGTTTTGAAAGAGCTGGCAAAGTAATAGGCACCAGTTTTTGGTAAAAACAAGGAATTAGTTCCATCCTCATTAGTATGTATTACATCTCTCTGTTCTAACCGTCTGTTGAATTTGTGTACTTAATGGTGAAAATAGGTTTGCCATATGATCACCCTTGGCATCAGTACCCTGATCTTGAGAAACTGAGAAGCAGGTGAAAGAATGGCAGGAAAATCATCTCCATAATGACACTCCAGGAATCTCCCCATGCCTATATTGTCTTTACCACAGAGATGAGAGGAAATCCCTACAGCATCACCCAGAAGTGACATTCACATTTCCTCCAAACTCCACCCTCCCTAGGTACTGTCCTCAAAATCTCCCTATTGCTTCCAAAGAAAGGTGTACACCCTATGGCTTCCTAAGAAAGATAAACCCAGTTTCATACAAATGTACGTAGCTTTCCACTTTGTTAACTCTGTTGAAACAGCTGCAAAATGTTATTCTTGTTTAAGCATCAATATGAGTCTGCAGAATACTACCAATTAAGAATTTTTCATCTACTTCCCCCCCCCCCCAATGTTGGTGGTATCTGGAGAGAATATAGGCATTTACTGAAGAGTTTTTAAGATGGTAGAAACTCCTGCATGGTCTGAAATAGAATTGATAATGATTTCGATTTCATTATCGGAGACGGAGGAGGGTGTTACCCCAAACCCCTACAATCCCAGGGCCATATGATACCAAAGGTGTAGAGAGAATTCATCTTAATTTAAGCCAAGGAGTCATGATCCACAACAGTGGGAGATAAGTGCAATAAAATGCTGTATCACAATAAGGCAACTGATGGGGAACTATACAGGTCCCTTTTGAGGGGCCTGCCCTGTAACTCCATGAGACATTCCCCCTCCTACCCCATCCAGATGTCTGATGCTTGCTAGCAAAAACCCTGCATCTTACCTAGACTGCTTCTGCATCCCATCAGTGGTACATATACCACTAACTGAGAACCAGTATTGCAGAAAGTTCACCTGTCAGCCAAATTATCAGAATGATGACATAGTATTAAAGAGAGAAGAACTGTAGGCTCTTATCCTTAACGGGGACCATAAATGCAAGCTAAAATGACCATTTGACTATATATAACACTCCTTTGTACTGGATACAGTTACAAAAAGTGAGAGAAAATTGTTTCCCATGAAATACCTAATGGAACAGCCAGCCATGCTGGACAAAGTATTGTGGAGCTCTTTTGTCTGGCTATGGAATGTACTGTAGATGCTGATATGTGGAAAACATAAGGAATGATACATATTTTGACAGGGAGTTCCAATGGATATAGAAACCCTTCAAGATGCGCTCATTTTTCAATGTACCTTTTCCAAAGGCAGATCATGATCAGCAAGAGTACTTCCATCAACTAACATTTCTGTTTTTGAGGAAGGCTTTTACAAGGTCGCATTTCTAGACTATGGCTTTTAATTTATTTGGCTGATAGGTTTACTAGGATTCCTTATTTGTGTGCATGTGGCCATATGTCAGGGGAGAATATAATTTGTTACTTCTAATGTCTTCTGTTTAAACTGCCTCTAGAGAGATTTTAATCCATGTCATACAGTAGATCTGCTGGGTCAAAGGAATGTCGTAAGAGCTGCTAATTTTTGTTTGACAAATGTGTAACTTCTAAGATAGCTTTGTTCACTAAAAACAGCTGAAGAAATCAGAAGTACATTCAATTTCTGGCAGTTTCCTAGCATGCCAATAAGATTAGGTTACTGCTAGCTTGCAAATATTTCTGGGCTTTCTGCACTATGTGCCTAGGGATTTCTTTTTAATGTAATGATTTAAACTAGCCATCTTAGCCCATTTCCCCCATGATATTGCCTGAGCCCTGTAGCTAAATCATTTGTGGTACAATTTTTACAGTAATCTACGGTGTTAAGAAAATAAATACAACTCTGAGTGTTTAGTGGGGTATTTTAACTTATTTTGCAGTTTTATAATATTTCCCAATGGAAATCTGGGAAATAGAAATAATACAACCTACTGCTGTGAAATAACTTATTATAGGAGTCCCTTTAGAATGCAGATTCTTGAGGCTCACAACACAGAAGCTGTATTAAATTAGTAAACTATGCATCTTTTGCCACTTTTGGAAGTACATATATTTATATAAGTTATATCCTGATCTAATCCAGGCCCTTAAAATACTTCCAGTGTGCTGGCAGGAACAGGAAGTACTGGGCACTTCTGCACTTGGAGCTATATTCAAGGTGGCAGAGCAGAACAGGAATCTTTGGTGATGAAAACACTCAGTTTTTTGCCCCAGAATACACTCAAGGAAACCTCAAGAATTTTGGGTATTGTGTTCAAACTAAGACCACCAAAACGGCTTCCACAGGAATCTCAAATGACATTTTGAAGAAAACCGAACCTGTCTGAAAATTTTGAAACCATGAGCCCCTTTGATATGCCATGTTTAGCCTTGCCCATTTGGCCAAAAAATATACTAAACCATCTGGAGGTAAACTTTATGTAGTTTTTATCAATTTTAAAAGGGCCTTTGACTGTATCCCCCATGCTAGATTGTGGGGGAAATTAGCAATGACCTCTATGGACTGCTGGCTTCTTTGGCTAATCCACAAATTATATCAAAATAATACTGCACAGGTGAAACATAGAAGTAATGGTCAATTGACAAAGCTCCCTTTCTCTTTAACCTCTATATAAATGACACCGATAGTCACCTTTCTGGTGAATTTTTCCATCCACCTCACCTGTCCCAAAGACCTAACTCATCTCTGTTTAATGCCAATGATGCTATCTCGGTTTTGTGTTGGTTTAAGATGCTTATTGAATCCTTTTGTATTTTATTGCTCCCAGGAGTCCTTATATAAACTATCAACAGACCAAAGTTGTTGTTATTCAGAAAGATGTTCCATCATGCCATTTATCATGGTCTATGAATGGCCATTTGATTAATCAGGTGAACAGCTTCCACTCTCTTGGTGTCCTTTTTTTCTTATAATTTGTCATGGACAAGTCATATTACTGCTGCTAAGAAGTTAGCATCAGTACACTCATCAGCTCTCTTGAGATTCTTTCGAATCTCAGGTGGTAATTATGTACCTGCTGCTATCAGGGCTTTTCAGTTGAAGGTAGTGCCTTCATTACTATATGGTATACCAGTGACCATAGCCAAGGTCAATGATAAGTATGACTCTTGTTTAACCTCCTTTCTACATTGTAAAATCTGCCAATATGTATTGCTGGACCAGCCATCCGTTTGGAATTTGCTGAGCCATCTCTGGAGGACAAAGCTTGGATAGCAACATTCCTCTTCACAGACTGAATTTTTAAAAATTCTCTAGAGGAGTGCTATTTGCACCATCTTGTTCGTGATGGCTTTTGAAGCTTATGGCTAAAATTAGTCAATGATAGGCTACAGAGGTTGGGCTTCTCCTTTGAGTTCTTTAACCTACAGAGGTTGAGCTTCTCCTTTGAGCTCTTTAACCAAATGGAATATCCTTCTGTATGTAAGATGATTAAATCTAGTGTGCTACACTTTGATAAATGGAGCACTGGCTCTAGAACTCGAAGGGTATGTTATTTGGGTCTTTCAACTCCGAAGTCTCTACCTGCTTACTGTAAGTTTTTAACAGTTCCCAAATATAGAATACTATTCTCTAAAGCAAGACTAAGTATCTTGCCACTAGGGGAATTAGCAGGTAGGTTCACAGGGATTCCATTCCCTGAGCGGCTTTGTGATTGCAAATCTGGGAATTTAGATACCATTTGGCACTTTCTCCTTGATTGCAACAAATACATCAATGCCCATGACAAGTGGATCACAGTTTACATCCAAAAATGGAATCCAGCTGTAAAGCAAGAGATTGTAGGTAAGGTATTAGCTGATAGTGACCCAAATGTGACTCTCGCAGTTCCAAATATTTTGTCTGTGGCATTTAATGCCACAGATTTAATGTAAATCTTTTACTTAAATATACAAATGAAAAAAGGAGATGGTCAGTAGAGGCACTCATGTCTTCCATTTGTTAGTATATAAAACTCTCACAAATCCCTGCATCATGAACAACGGGACAAAGAAAACACAAGATAGTGGCATTCAAGTAGCAAAATATTGTTTTATGATGTATGTGAAAATTTCCCCTATTCCAATGTTTTAAAACAGTGAGACGCACTACAGTTATAGAGGATCATCCAGAGATTTCAAGCTCATCCACGACCCTCTCAGACACAAAAAGCAACAGTGTTATCTGCCCTCTCACATAGAATCAAGACTCTCAGCCTCTCGCTACACACAGACAGGCTGGATATCGCTGTTCAGAAACATTACAGCAGTATGATAATATGATTATCATTCCCTGTAATGATGAATGCACTCACGAGGTCTGGTTTGTAATTCATCAGTGACTACTGGACTGCTTTCCCACATGACCAGCACTGGGTTGATTTGTAATTCGGAAGTCCAATATTAGCATGGAATGTTGGTCATGTATTCCAGACTATTCAAATCTATAATCCAGACCAGGTAATTCCACAATTCTGTACCATTACTGGTTGCTCGAAGGTATAAGACATTGATTTTTGTAGTGCTTTATGAAACTGTGAAATGTGCTTGATCAGAGACCTCTATGGCATAGAGAAAACAAAGGTCTTATCCCCACAGGGAATGATAGCTTTATAATGCTGCCCTCCAAGTCTCTGAACAGCTTTTGCTGGTATTCAACCATAGTCATCTCAAGTGCTTAGTCTTAGCGGTGCAGTTGTGTGATGGAGAGTTCAACAGCTCTACAGTACCATAGCCAGTACTGCCAGTTGGCAATGATGGGCCACTTGCCAAAGCTTAGAAGCTGTCAAGACTATTAAGCAGAGACCAATATAATTTTTTACTGTACAGGGCACCTGGGATGGTTAGGAGCAATGTCACTCTCTCTCTGCTTTCAGTATTCCTGGGTGCTCTGTATAAAGCAAAAAAACTGCATTTCCCAGAGTGCTCAGCATGTCAACTCTCAATGCAGGGAAGTATGAGAATGAAGACCCAGTTTTGTATTACCTGTGGGGCTCTCTGAAAAGAAAAAGTGCACCCTGTGCTTCTCCACCCATTGCCAGTTTAAGGAGAGGACACTGATGGTTTCTTTCCCAAGATTGCCCAAAATCTAGGCAAACAGTTTGTGCAGTTGAGAACATGTCGTAAACATTACCTTCTCCATGTGTACAGATTTTGACCACCTCTCTCAGACTGCAACACATGCATTCTTATTTTCTCACTCTCCTGCCAGACATAAACAGTATCTCGCACACAACAAGTACATCGATCACAAATTATAATGTGCAATATAGCTTAGATCCAGCACTCTTCCAGAGATGTGCTCAGTTACATCAATCAAAAGTGCAAGATCCGTTGGCCTTTTCAGCTAATTCCCAACATGTTCATTTCTGTGCTCCTGTAACAACTAGATAAACTCTCTTCCCCACTCGCCTCCCAATTATTAACCAAGGCTGCCCCACCACCTTTGCAATGACAAAAATAAATACTACATTTACTGATTTCAGCAGTTTTTCCTTCTCAAAAATGAGAAGCCTTTTCTGCTTCAACCGCAGATGAGGGATGTTATTGAAAGAAATGTTCAGATTGTGTTGTTCTTAACCATATGGGTATACAGCCCCACTGGACCCAATTACTGCTGTGGCTCTCAGAGCCAGCACTTATGTGCTTTATTTAACCTAGGCACAGCTGCGTGTCCTTATTCTTTGGCTTGTGCCCTATTATCAGGCAAGCCCCTACCCCACCCCCAAAGCTTGTACGACAGCTTTGGCTGTTCTTCACAAAGCTCCTCCTTGGCTCAATTCACCATCCTCTTGCCAGGCATGGTCACGACATCACCATCTCCCACCGTTGACTCATGGCCGTGCTCTCGCAAGGGTTAATTACGACTTCTCTCATGTTTTCATTGGTGTCCCCCACCATTTCAGTGTCCAGGCAGTAACGTGTGGCCATGTGCTCAATGTGAGAACCGACTTTACTCCATCGCTTTGGGAGAGAAAGGAGAAATGCAAAAAGATCAGATTCAGCATGACCCATGAAACTCCTGACTAAGCTAGTGGAATTAAGACTTTGTGACAGGTTACAGTGCATGAGGGAACGATCTAGCCAGCACCACATCTATTCTCTTGCTCGTGTTTCCAATTCCAGTGTATTAACAGCTTGTTTTTAGCAGAAGAGGAACTGGAACTCATGGTAACCATTTAACAAGTAAACAACATGGTAACCAGTGTTCCCTCTAAGCTGAGTTAGTGTGAGCTAGCTCACAGTTTTTTAGCCTCCAGCTCACACGTTATGGTCTTAGCTCAGGAAGGATGGTTCCAGAGCAGACTGATTTATGCAGTAGCCAAATTGCTCACTCACAACTTTCATGCCAGTAGCTTACTAAGTGGAATTTTTGCTCACAAGACTCCACAGCTTAGAGGGAGCAGTAACCATTTAACAAATAAAACCCTGTTTGTTGTGATCCCGAGATAAGCTGAGGAACAACTCATTAAACTAATGGAGGGTTGTGAGTGCTTAGTAGGCACAAAAGCCACTGAGTAACTTCTAAGGAGCATCTTATTAACTGGTGTCATGGTCGAAGAGAGTAATCCCTGAGAAATATAATTTGGCTGGTTGAGCGAGAAAGCATGTGTCAGTTTCTATGATGCAGTGTAGATTTGTTGCTTAAACCAACATTATGAGGTCCTAGACACTTGCTTCTGCATTTTCACACCTCAGGCAGTCAAGGTACTACTTATTTTCTGTATCTGAGCTTATTTGCTGTATCTGAAGAATTGATCAGTGTCTGACGAAAGCTCATACCCTACCACAAATTTTGTTAGTCTTTAAGATGCTACTGGACTCTTTTCTAAAGGTACTCCTGTGTCATTCTAAAGAGACTATGGCTGTTCAACAAATAATATATATATATTTAAATAGTAGATGGTATAGAATTGAAGACAGAAGAGTCTCCCCAGTTTTGTTTTGGGGGTTTTTTATGTTCCCAGACTTCTGACTCTGGAGTGTCTATACACATATACATATTGTTAAGGATATTGCAGGAGATGAGTGGGAAGTCCACCCATGAACTACTACTGTGCTGCAATCTAGCCACCACTGATGTGTCTCCTAACCTATCTATTACCATACACAAGGACACTAAAGAATAAGCAAAGATGGAGAGAGACGTGCTGTTGATGTTCTTGCACCTGTGGATAGCTTATGCATACGCACAACTGGAATCCCAATGTTTTATTGTCTAATGACTACACCCAACCCTAGTCCAGCCCCAGTTTAGGTAAGGAAATAGGAAATGTTAATGTACTATGGTGGCCCTACACTGACTAAAAAAAACACAAAATGATTTTGATGTTGCTTTAAAAGTGTATCGCTGATTTTATTCTACCTTGTTCAGTCTGTGTGATCTTTGATTAGGTTGCTGGGCAATACTGGATTTAATTCAGTACGCTTAATCTCCTGTTCATAAACTTTAGCTGGCTTGCTCCAAGTAAATGCAACTCGTTTCTGACCATTTCTTGAGGGATGTGCATTTTGCAGGCTTCTTTGCCTAAAGTATGAAGTGTCTATTGAGTAGAGAAAAGGACCAATGTGCCAGTGGACATTTTCAATTTCATTGATACATCTTTAGGGCTTTAGTGAAATCACTGAGAAAAATAACTTTTCTCTGATGGTACAGTTGTCAGACCCCGCATGTGCCATTGGCGAGTCCGGGTGGCGGGATGAGTCCAGGTCGAAGTGGGAGCGGCTGCAGGTCAGGCGTCGCCTCAGAATTCGCCTGGGATGTTTACTTCCCCTTCCCCTATTGGCAGCCGTCCCCCTATCAGATGCGTACAAGTGGATGGGGTGGCTGCTCAAGTCTCCCTCCTCGCGTCCAGTCCTAGGGTTCTGGCAATCCTCCCTGGTTTCTGCCTCCCTGCTCTTTATTGCTCCTCTTCCTCCCTGCTCATTCCGCCGCCCACACCTTAGAGCAGCCGAGCCTTGGGGTTACAATCGGTTGGCTTGGGTCCCACCGTGAACTTCCCCCACCCTTCACCTTCCTGGTCGGGGCCTTGTCGGGCAGCCCAGCTGAAACTCCTCCCCCGGTCTCCCCCCTTTGTTGCAGGGCAGCCCTGGCAAGGGCGGCAGGGAAGAATCCTGGGTCCCTTGGGGAATCCCCGTAGGGATCCATCTGCCCCCTGATGTCGGAACTTTGGCACGCCTGGGACCCATTCCCCTGAGGAGTCAGGAGGGACCCGGCCGTGTCCTCCTCACAACTATATATTGGAAAGTTGAAATCTGTTTTCAAGACTGTTAGAGAAAGAACATCCATACCTGCTTTCCATCCCCTTCTTTACAAGGTAAGAGCACCACCTGGGAACCTGGAAAGAGGGTTTGTACGGACAAGCATAATTGACTGTGACGAATGTGCTGGTTGTAAGTATATATCCATTCCTGAAATAAGAGAACATAAAAGTCTCATTTCTCTTTAATTCCATTTCCCTCTTATCACTCAGTCATCTTCCATTGTCTCCTTTGCATTCTAGCATGCACAGATCACCCTCACAATCTCTTCTTCAGCCTTCTCACTATTATTTTGCCTGTGTTCAATGAACACTTTCTGACCTTTTCTAACATGGGGCTTTCTCATTGCATTCAATTCACTAAGATCCTGATCACTTCTCTGTGGGCCAAGTAATGTGAGTTGCACAATGCTTGTTTTAATCACGGCCAACAGTAAATGCACATGTGACGAGCCAACAATCTTAGGAGGTTTGAATCAGTGATTTTTTAAAATCCACTTCTAATTCTCTTTGGTCTCCCTAGCACCTATGGCAATTAACGATGGTTGCTTCCTCCTTAACTTACTTTTCACATTATGTTGTCCTTCTGATTGTCCTCCACTTGGTCTAACCTTTACCGCTTAGTTTTATACGACTCTTTTTTTCTCTTTCCTTATGCTCCAAATATGGTCCTTGCAAGCATCCTCTCTTTGGATCAGACATCTCTCTCTTTATTCTAGACACACAGTACAAGCTACTGTTGCTTATGCTGAGGGCTCCCAAATCTAGTTTTCCACTGTGTGATTTCCTCACCTTCTTGTCCAATCACTCTGCCTCCAACGCTTTTGCTGTCATTTCCTCATTGATCTAGCCATGTGCAAATGTCAAAGCATTAAGTGGAAGAGAGTGACGGACTGACATTCTTACGGATAGGACAACACTAGGAAGACAATTATTAGAAAGAAGGTAGTGGGAAGGTCAACATGTCTCCAACTGAACATCTATGACAGCTCTGGGATCCTGATTGGAAGGTTGCTGGTGGCGCATCAACTGTGAAATCCAAAATCCTGCCAGAATCTAGGGTGCAAACCTTGATGCTGCTGTTGCTACGGTAATTGAATAAGAGTAGGAGCTCCCAGTATGAAAATCCAAGTAGCTGTGTATGTGGGCACAGAAAGAATGCGGCCTAATTCAAAAAGATCTAGGCATATTAACATAAAACACATGCAAGCTATAGCTGACACTTTCCACACTCTAATTTAAAATTATATTTGAGATGCTGCTGGCCTTTCTCTGTAATTATAATAGTAAGAACAATGACTAAATCACTTATATATCCATAATGCCAGACGTCCCACATTCAGAATCCGATGCAACATTTTATAACTGCCAGACAGAGTCTGCTTCCAGGCCCAATTCGAAGCGCTGGTGATTATTTTAAAAGCCCTAAATGGCTTGAAGCCTTATATTCCTTCCTATCTGAGTTTTCCTATTGGATCCTGCTCTGCCTCCCTCCTTTTTCAGAGGTGTGCGTGGGGGGATGGAAATTAGAAGCAGCATACCTGGTGAAGATGCACTTTTCTCCCAGGCTTTGGGATGTTTATCTTTTTATTTCTATCCCCCTCCCTCCAAATGGTTGCTTTATTCTTCTGCTGTATGCCTTCTTCAGGTTTTCATTTGGATTGCAATTCAGTTCCTTTTAACTCTGCTGACAGCTTGTTTGAATGACTGTAGGTGCTTGAAATGTTTGTTTGTACACTGTTTCACATTTTGGAAAATGAATTTCTATCTTTGGCTTTTCTTTTGATTTTAAATAGTTTTCAATGCTTTGCTACCAACAGAGAAACCAGTTCTCTGGTCGGAGGGTAGGATATAAATGGTTAAAATAAATGAATTGCACTGCGCATTAGAAGACTAGAAATAGGGCAAGAACATCTCATAACCAGGGAGAAAGAACATGGGCCATAATCATACAATCACTCTGAGGACTTCTGTTTGACCATCTCCTCCCCCCCCCCTTCTGACTCTGCTTGAAGATCATAAGAAAAGCCCTTCTGGGTCAGGCCAAGGGCCCACTTAGTCCATCATCCTGTTTCCCGCTATGGAGCACCAAATGCCCCAGGAAGGCCACAGGGAGGGCTAATGGGGCAAGACCGATGAACGTAGCTAGCTGTCATTCAGGCGGACTATATCATCTGCGCCCCAATTTTTAAACACTTATTTATTTAGAATTATTTCTATGGTACCTCTTCAGAATCCTGCCTGAGGCGACTTACAATTAAAAAACACAGTGTAAAACACAAGACGTTAGACATAAGCAGCATGAAAACTATCCATAAAACATTGCAGACCATGAAAAAGCTGATAAGATAAATCCCCAAGTAAGAGCCAGTAAAAAAAAGTTGTATCTGAGCTGGGCACCTAAAAAAAGTAAAGCAGGTGCCCGGTGAGCCTTGAGGGGGAGGGCACTCCAGCATCAAGGTGCACCATGGGAAACGCCCCGCCTCTAATTGTCACCTGGCTTACTTCCGAAGGTGGGGGCACAGAGAGCAGGGCTTGAGAGGCAGATGTTAACTGGCAGGCTGGATAGTATGGGAGGAAACAATCCTTCAAGTACCCTGACCTCAAGCCATTTAGGGACTTAGAAGGTTTAGAGCCAGCGTTTTGAATTGTGCCTGGAAACAGATGGGTAGCAAATGCAGATCATTCAGCACAGGAGTAATATGATTCCTGTAACCAACCCCTGACAGTAGCCTGGTTGCTGCATTTTGGACCAGCTGAAGTTTCCAAAACCATTTTCAAAGTCAGCTCCACACAGAGTGCATTACAGCATGGATCACTACGGCCATATCTCTGCACCACTACTACAAATATCTCCAAAGGAATGACTCAGTTCAGTGGGATTTGTGTGTGAGGGGGAGCACTTAGACGATATCTTCATCATGTGTATAATCCATTCAGGTTGACAAAAAAGAAGAAGCAGGCAGATATTTTGTTTGTTTTTGCAAGCATCAAAAGCACTTGCATGACATGGCCACCACACTGAATGCGAAAAGAGGCTGTTTCAGCTTCTGGATCCTGAATGAATATAGCTATAAAGTTTCCATCTTGTAACTGACATAATGATAGTGGAGTGAGCAGAGGTAAAACAAGGTCACGGTGGAGGAGGAGGAGGCTGCTCCCCCCCCCTTTCCCCTAGTAAATGACAGCCATGTTCTGAAGATTTTCTGTATTTTTATCAGAGGCCGCCATCTGTTTTTCATCTGATTAAATGGCAGAGGAGGGAAGGGGTGCCTCACCAGCCTTACGAAAGTCAGCCAAAGATGATACTTTACATTATTTCTTGAATTCATTATGACGCTGAGGAGCAGTGACAGGTGTCACCTTGAATGATGTTAAAGCTCTGAGAAATAGTCCCAAGCCTCCAACAGCGTTAATGTAGCTGGGATTTCAATGGGAAATCGTTAGCATATGAAGTGAGTCACCATTTGGAGCATGAACTGCTGAAACACCCCCCCCCCCCAACCCTTCTATTTTTCTCTATGGCCTTTCCTACCACACTACCTTCCAACACTTTTCACAAGAATTTTGCTTGTCTTCCAGCAAGGTGCAATTTTATTTGCTGCTTCGCTACTTGACTGCTTCCACTACACACATGAAAGGCTTCCTGAACGCCCCTTTCTGTGCTAAGTACATTAAGAAACAAGGGCAGAATGCATGTCCCACTAAAGAGGCATCTGTAAGGAAAATTTCCAGGGCATGAGATGCACTCTTTAAGCAAAATACAAGATGGTATTAGAGGAAAAAGGATGGATTGTAGGCTGGCACTGGGTGGGGGAAAATATGAAATATTGTACTAGCAAAATGCCCAGGCTACACATGGATGCATTAATTGCATACACATCCCTGCAGAAGTTGGTTCACCCAGTGCCAGAGATGATGAGAAGGTTTAGTCCCTATTGCCACTCTGTTCCAAGGGAAGCATTGTGAATCCAAAGCCTTCAGCAAGGGCACCCCCCCCCCCCCCCCCCCCCCAAGCATTGGCACTGCTGGCTGGCTGTGAGCGCCTGCAATGATGGCTCGCAGCACCACAGTACCCACTCAGCTTGACTTGCTCCTGGGTCATTTCAACTTCCCATTCTGCCCTTGCCATCTCACTTTGCCGTACGAATGTGCTGGCCCTCAGTTCAGCAGGAACCCTGTTGCTAAGAACAAGTTCCTCCTCCGTGTGATCTTTCAGGGCTGGTTAATTCTGTATTTCTCACCATTCAAAGTGGAATGTGTAGTCCATACCCTAAGGGAGGCACTGCTAGATGATGGCGAACGTGTTTCCATGTTCAGAAATGAACCTTTACGGAACACCAGTAAACTATCACTAATGAAATTAGATCCACGACCCACTAAGAGCAATTGTTATGAGAGACTGAGTTGGGTCTCCTTAAGGGAAGAGTTTTGAAGAGCGGGCTGTCTTAGCAAAGGGCTGGAGCTCACTCACAGGGCATCTGGCTTTGCATGCAGAAAATCCCAGTTGCAGTTGAAAGAACCAGGTGATGTGAAAGAATCTCTACCTGAGACCCTCAAGAGTGGCTGCCACTCAGACAATACTGACGCTGATAGGTTAAGAGTCTGACTCAGTATAAGGCAGATTCATGTGCTCAAATGCCTCGGCTAAACCTACAGGCAGGCTACCACCCTACTGTGGGCATTCAAGCAGGATAATAGTGCAGGGGTAGGGCAGTCATTTGCTTCTTCGTTCCCTAGGATACCTCCTCACACAGGCTTCAGATCGACAATCTCTTCGTGGCAATTTCCAGTTGGCCAGGTTGCCCTCGAACTCATGACCGGTTTGCCTTAGCTACACTAGGGGAGGTTCAAACCACTGTCCCCTTGCCTTGGTGGAGGTGCTCACCTTGTCCAAGTAGGAGAATCCTCTGGGAGAAAGCTGCTACATCAGAGCATCTGGATGCATTTCCCACAATGTCAAGACCAAAATAATGCACTAACAAACAGCCAAGCTGGTGATTCACCCACAGTCACAAGATATTTTGAGAGGCAGCCGGGGCTGCAGCCCGGCTGTCTATTTCTTTTCTTCTCTCTCTTTTTCCTTTCAATTTCCAGAGACTGACAGCCACTTTCCCCGCGCACAGTCATTTTGATGCTACTGCTGCTGTT